CGCTCCAGGGCCGCGCTCGCACCCCAGCCGGCGGCTGCGGGAGGGAGGCCGGACTCACGTCCCGGTGCCTCGGCGGTGGGCCGTGCCCGCCTAGGAGCCCAGCCGCCTCCCTGCCGTACTGCCCTCCGGTCCCTTCGGACCCTGGGCGTCCCGGGGAGGGGCGGGGAGGGACGCTGCTGGGGAGCCCGCGGGTGCTCAGCACCCCGGAGCCCGCGCCCGCCCAGCTGTTCCGCCTGTGTTTGTTGTGCCGTGGAGGCCCCGCCGCCGCCGCCGCCGCCGCCGCCGCCGCCGCGCTCTCCGCCTTGCGCCCGGCGATTGGCTGGCGGGCGTCACGTGGGCGCGATCAGCTGGGCCGGCTGCGGGCAGTCGGCGGCCTGGCGGGGACCCCCCAAAGCTCTCGGGGGAGCCCACCTCGCGGCTCCTCCCTGCTGGCGGAGGTAGGGCATCCTCCCTGCCCAGCCTGTTATTCCACGCCGCTGTCCAGGTAGGTAGGAGGATGACCGCGTAGTGCCAGCCTGGCGTGAGAAGCCGCCGTAGTACCAAGGTCTGTTTAATCCTGACACTGTTTAATCCCTTTGGAGTGGCTGGCAATAAGGGGAGGTGTACAGCTCATTTCTCTTTAAACTTTTTTTTTTTTTTTCTGTTGACAGAGCCCCGTTGGAAATCTGAGGATTTTTTTTTTTTTTTTTAAATTTCAGGTGTCCTTTGACAGATGGAAAAATGGTGCCAGTAAGCCCAGGCTTACCTTGGTTTGGGAAATAAGTGAACTTGCCGGTGAAGTAGCAGGCATAATAGGAGTCAGTGTTTCAGGCTGCAGAGACAGGGTTGCAGCTGCATTCCAGCATAGTGAAAGACCGAGTTCTTCAGTGTTTCTAGGGTGTATATTTGTGCCAGATGTGAAGTGCCGTGATGTGTTCTTTTACTAAGAATCGCATATTATAGTGTATTAGGTAAGAAGGAGATGCCAGAAAATGTGAATTCTTCTCTCTGGACGTTCCCAATTTAGTAAAAGGTTACAGACCAATGAAATTGAGAAACAGCACAACGCTAAATATTGGTAAGTTACGAAATGAGTGTTACAGAAAGTTCAAAGATGAGGCAGTGAGACACCAGGAGGAGCAAGGAGGAAGTACTCTGAAGAGAACTGATATTAGCCTTAGAAAATGAAAAGCCTGTGGGTTGATGTTGGCCAGATGGGCTTAGGAAAAACAGCCCTGGGGCTTTTACAAATAGCAAGAAGATGGAGCATGTGCAGTTTGGCAGACGTGCGTGTGTGTGTGTGTGTGTGTGTGTGTGTGTGTGTGTGTGTGTAAATGCACACAACTTGGTGTGTGTAGTGGAGCCCAAGGTATTTTGTACTCTTTGGAAAGAACTAATGCACTTGTTTTTCAGTAGAATCTCAGGCCCCATAGTCCAGGCTGGCCTTAAACTCTGCCTTGTTGTCCTTGGTGCTGGGACTCCAGGTGTGTTAATTAATGCCCGCCTTATACCCTCATCCTGCCTACTGATCAGTAGAGATATTTCCCCTTAGTTGATGTGTAGCAACTATCTTATCGCTAGGAAAGGCACAATGAAATATATTCAATTTGTAAGGGAAACCAACTTGGATTTTTAACAGTCACTTTTCTGAGCATGCCTGATAAAATGTACGTGGCTTCTTCTAAAAGAACACCTAGTTGGAATACTGGGACTTTTCCTTGACTCATTTGTCTTCCCTGTCCACTGAGGAGATTTAGAAACAATAAAAAGGAAAAGGGGGCAGGGAAGAGGCCCCACAGTGAAGGTGCTTGATGAAGGTCCGACAGCCTGACTTAGTTCAGGAACCCACATGGTTGAGAGAACTTGTTCCACAAAGCTGTCCTGATCTGCATGTGCCCCACACAATTCAATAGGTCTAATAAAAATGTCTAAATGCATTAAGGACATAAGATGTACCCCAAACCCTATGAAAAAGTCTAGGAGACATGAAACTACTGCTAACTGTGCATTTGTGAGATGTGAAGGTAGTCCTAAGTATATTTGTACCTAGATTATCCTTTGTTTTGTAGTGCCTTGACAGTTACATAACTATGTAAATTAACACCATTTCCCTGGTAATGCTGTGTGGTAACAAATGTGTAATTTGGGAACTGTTAGCTAGACATGAATTTGCTATTTGGCGCTTGAGTCTAGAAAACACATAAACTATACTGTAGCTATCCAGCAAGAACCTTTCAGTGTTGTATCATGACAATCAAGGGGAACATGTTTGTCTTGCCAAGAAGTTTTTGGGGAGATGACCAACTCAGATTATTTGCTGACTCATGACTAGCTGCTGAGTTATGTGACTGGTCTTATTTTCTAATGATGACTAAGCAGTATTCTAGAAATATAGTCAGTATGGAAATTGCTTAACAAAACATAAAATAAGGCATTGTCTTAGGTGAGAAGACCAGGCATATTTACTTACTGTCAAATGAAGACCCAGTCCCACAAGCAGGCCATCCTTTGACCCAGCAGAGTGACTTGATACTGTACTGGACTGTAAGAGGATGAAATGGCTTTCTTATGTCATTGAAACTTGGCTCTTGCTAACCAAGTACAAAAGGAAGAAAATTGGGCTGGGTTGTATCGTAGTAGGAGTGTGTTTTTCTAGCACACAATGTATTTGGTTTGATTTTTCAGTATTACAAAAAGAAAAAAAAAGATTTTATAGATTGAACTGTTGTTTGTCCTTGTAACTTTTAAGTAGAATATTGTTACAAATTGTTATGAAAATAGTTAATGAAACTGTAATAGCATCAAATGTTTATTACTATTAAAATAATTATTCCAGCTATTAAAAAGTTTTATGGGTTTTGTTCTTTCCTTTGTTCTAGAGAGAAGAGACTGAAAACCAAATAGACAACCATGTTTTCATGTGAATCCATTTTAGCAGAATCAAAAACAAACTACTTCTGGAAGGGGCAGATTTTTGTAACCCTTTCACTACTAAAACCCTGTGTACCAGCCTCCTTAGACACACACTTTATATTCCCCCATCTGGTGCTGTGGAAAAACAAACAAACAAACAAACACGCCTCTGCTCTGTCCAGAGGTGCTGGGAACACTGGGATGGGTATTTGTGGAAATGCCCCAAAGGTATAATTCCTTAACTAAGGAATAGTCTTTCTGAAGTGTGGACATTTTCCACCAGGTCCTGTGCAAATGAAAATAGATGCCTATTGTTCTCCTTCGTATTTTTAGAGCTAGGAAATGGTGCCTCCTTAGGCTAAATCCATTTGCCAGGATAGAGACCAAATTGGATTATTAATTATAAGGAAGGCAGGTACCTATTTTAAGACCAAAGTTGAGACACTAAGAATTTGAAATCTTAGGTTTCTAGCTTTCGTCTTGTTTATAATCTCTACTACCTGAATACTTAACATGGCTGTAATTAACAGGAGGCGAAGCTGTTCATTGCTACTGTTTTGTATCCATTCTGAACCCTATTTTCACATCTGTAGTGGGGCAGAGTTGGAATGGGATGTGTAGTGTACTTTTACAACTTTTATTTAGCATTCACTATACAGGGCACTTTTCTCAGGATATAGTATCTCCATTTAATTCTCATTCAGAGATATTGCTGTTGCCTTTTTACATAGGAAACAGGACAATTTGTCAAAGTTTACAAGGGTGTCGAAGGTGGGGGAGCTTGAAATACAAAAATAGCACCTGGCTTTAGAGTTTAAATAATCTACAGCATACTGTGTAAGTTCTTGGGGTGAAGTGAGGAGGCAGCGGCTGAGTATGTATTACTGATTTGAATGATCTTTAATTTATATAGTTGATCTTTAGTATGCTCAAGTGTTTATGGAAAGCTAAGGATTTTTGTTTTTTGAGACTGGGACTCTCACTTCAATCCTCTGTGCTCAGTCTTCTGAATGCTGGGATTACAGACCTGAGCCACTGAGCCCAACTCAGAATGCCAATGATTTTAGCTAGAAAATCCATGAAGAAAATGGGAATGGAATTACAGTAATTTGTCAGCTACTCCTACTGATCTTTAGACCTGACTGCCAGCCAAGTTTCTGTTTTTCTGAGAAAGACTGTTTTCTAAGTGAAGATCTTTTCCCCTATCTCAGTGTGTTCGGGTTTTTTTGTTTGTTTTGTTTTGTTTTGTTTTTCGAGACAAGGGTTTCTCTGTGTAGCTTTGTGACCTTCCTGGAACTCACTTGGTAGCCCAGGCTGGCCTTGAACTCCTCGAACAGAGATCCGCCTGGCTCTGCCTCCCGAGTGCTGGGATTTAAGGCGTGCGCCACCACCGCCCGGCTCTCAGTGTGTTCTTAAGCAGGATAGACTTGTCCTGATAAGGACTGAGATGGTGGTGTTTGAGTGTTGCAAGCCACCAGTCCATACCAGCCATGTAGACTCTGCTGGTGGCTAGAAAGCAGTTAAGTATAAACGAAGGAGTTTGGCTATGTTTCAAAGAAACTATCACCACTGAAATATTTGATGTTTTCTTAACCTTTTAGAAGAATAATTTTGTTTTTAGAATGTGGGGAGTTAGAGATGATCTAGATTTGGCCAACTGACCCTGGTTTGCTGACCCCTGTGTTTTTGGTTTGGGTTTTATTTTATTCTCTGTGCATGGGAACTTTGCCTGCATGTACTTTGTGCACTAGTTGTGTGTCTGGTTCAGGTGGAGGCCAGAAGAGGGCATCAGATACCCTGGAACTGGAGTTACAGATGTTGTGAGTCTGTATATGGGTGATGGGAATCAAACCCAGGTCCCCTGGAAGAGTGGCCAATGCTCTTAACTGCTGAGTCAGAACAGACCAACAATAAGATACCACATTTCAAAAGAGCCAAACAGGCTTTTTTGATAATTGTTTTATGACCTGAAAACTAGGGATTTATATAAACCCATCATGTCTAATTTTTAAAATCATTCCTTTTTAGGGACATTGTCTCATGGGTCCTTGAAAGAAAGGTAGTTTTCTTTTTTAAACTTACAGATAAATTGTATAATTAAAAAATTTAAGGTGGAGATCCTGAGATACAGTTACTTAACTAGAATCTCCTGTTGCGAATGGAAGTTAGAAATTCTAGGGTGAGGGTGCTCTTTGGTGGGAGAAGAAATTGAAGATAATCAGTAAAATACCTGAGTTGTCTATGAACTTCACTGTATTTTCATCCTGGTCCCTCACTACTTCAGATAATAGCAGATGAACTGTTAAGCAACAAGGTTTGATACTTAGACCTGTTTAGGATTTTATAGCTCGGAACTATGCAGAAGTACTGCCAGGAGGGCTGTGCTTGTGTGTGACTCACAGACTAATATTGTACTGGTTTCACCTGAAGTAGAAGGAGCATCGTGAATATAACTTAATCCATACTCTTAGTTGGGGCCTAATTTCAGCCATATGTGGAACTTGAGCACAGAAAAGTATCAAATGATATGTTTTTTGCAATGGGACACAGTAAGGTGCTGCTAGAGACTAGAAGAAGAGACTAGCTGCAGACTAGTTTGTGAGAATCTTAGAGGCAAAGCCAGTTTGTGGGGATGATGATACAACTTCATAGAGTTACAAGGAGTTATGGGGTACTTACCGGTAGACAAGGTTATCACATGATGAAGTATTTCTTAATAAGCTCTTTGGGATTTTTGTTTTCTTTTGATATTCTGAAGAGATGCTAAAGATGGAAGCTAGGCCTCTCACATGCCAGCAAGCACTCTACCACTGAGCCATGCTATTAGCCCAATAAAATTTTAGGATCAACCCTCCACCCCCATTATTCAAACCTGGGCCTCATATGCTAAGCAGAATGCTCTTTCATGGTGCCACATCTCGGACATTTTCTACATTCTGCCCCTTCCCTTTTATTTTTAAGTTTTATTTTGAGACAGAACTTCACTGGACTTCTCAGGCTGATATTAAACTCCAAATACTTCTGCCTCAGCCTCTAAGGTGTTTAGTTTTTCTGTAAGAATCATCTCTGGGTAATCGTGATGGCATAGGTCTATATTCCCATCACTTGGGAAGCTGAAATACTATAAGTTCAAGACAACCTCAACTACATACCATGACCTGTCACAAGTTTTTCCAAGAAAAGGTTTCAACATTTATAGAGAAGCAGTTTCGTAGAGTTTTTAGAAGGTAGTGGCTAAATTGTATTCCCTATTTGTATTTTGTGGCACTAATCCAACGTAAGTGTAGCATTATCTGTGAGTGTGTGCTGGGTTTAAAACACACTGTGGCCTTTAACAGTCTTAGATGGGATGAGTGTTTGAATACATGTGGAAAAAGGTAAAGAGAAAAGGTTTTCCAAACTGATGTAAGTGGTGTGGTGTTATGTTTATAGTTTTTTAATTTTTGGCTACTTGTTGGAAATTGCATGGGCTGTATTTTTGCACCTATAAAAGTAGGATAATATATGCCTACTATAAGAATTATCACAGTTAAATGATATGTACCAAGTGCAGTGTCTTGTACACTGAACATGCTTAGGTCTGAGACAGTTCACACTGTTCAGGTCCAGACAAATGTGATGACTCTCAGCCTTTTAATGTCTCCTCCTCAAGAAAAAAGTGGCTTTCTTCAGATTACTGAAGTGACTACTGGGTGATTTATAAACAACAGGAATTTATTTCTCATGGTTCTAAGAAAAAAGCACTAGCAGAGTGGTGTCGGTAAAGACTTGTTTCCTGGTTCATTGATGCCCCTTTAGATGTGTCATGATGGTAGGAAGGGCAAGACAGCTCCATGGAGCCTCTTTAAGGCCCCCAATCCTCTAATGATGAGGGTTCTGTCTTTATGACCGACCCAGTTACTCCCCGGATGCCATCACATTGGTGACTGGGTTTCAGTGTACAAGTTCATTGGGGACACAGACTTTCAGGATACAGCAGTGGGATTGTAATTGATGTCAGCCTGGTGCCAGCTTTAGTACTTCAGTACTGTTTTACATTTCCAACTTTGTAAAGCTAAGGCTTGCCAGGATCTACTGACCATGCAGAGATTTTACTTCTGTTGACAACATAACTTTTTTTTAGCAAACAAAAGCTACATTTTATAGTTACAAATACTTATGTTTATATGTAAATGGCAATCACAATCAGGAATCATGAACATAAAGTTCTTCCTAGATATTTTTAGTCTTGGTAATGAATCATATAATTGAAGCCAGTAAAAATACTTGGGTAGAGTAAAAAATAGAATGAATTTGAAGCAGGAAAGAAGGCATATTAAGTCTGTTTACCCTCAGTACCAAATGGTCGGTCACAGCTATTCCTGTAATACTGAGCCAAAGATAGAATGATGTAGGTAGAAGGCGTACAGTTTGTTTGGAACCATAGCATCTTCCATAGTAGCATCTAAGGTCAATCTAGAAATAGAGTTATTATTTCATTACAGTTAAATCAAGTCTGATATTTGAAAGTTGGAAAGAAAATTACCTTTAAAACAAATCCCAGAAACTCTGGCTGAAGCTAAATGAAAAAATAAATTGGGATGGGAGAGTATGGTAAACTGCTTAACATAGTTGCTATGAGATAATATGTTGTGTTATTCCATTACCTGATCCCCTCCCCTCAAAGTACAGGCGCTTCTACCCAAATTTTGTTTTTAAGGGTTCTGTTTTATTTATTGAGTGTGTGTGTATCTCGTGTGTACAGGTTCTCTTGCAGGCCATAAGAGGATATCAGATCTAGAGCTGGAGTTACAGGCAGTTAAACAGAACTCTGGTCCTCTGCAAGAGCAGTAAGTAAGTGCTCTTAACCACTGACCTCTCTCTCCTGCCCCCCAAATCTTTTTTTGGTTTTTCGAGACAGGGTTTCTCTGTGTAGCTTTGTACCTTTCCTGGAACTTGCTTTGTAGACCAGGCTAGCCTTGGACTCACAGAGATTTGGGGGCCGCCGCGGCCTGGCCCCCAAATCTTATTTCTTTAAGATTTATGTATGCTTTGGTCAGCCATGGTTATGAGTGATCATGGAGACCAGAAGAGGGTGTCAGAGCCCTTGGAGCTGGTTCTACAGTCAGTTTTGAGCTTCCTGATGTGGGTGCTGGGAGCTGAACCTGAGTCCTCAAGAGCACCAACTGCTCTTAGCTGCTGAGCATCTCTTTAGCCACCTAGAATTTTGTGTTTTGATTTTGTTTTGAAGGCATGGCTTTTGTGTTTAGCCCTAGCGTTCCTGGAACTCACTCTGTAGATAAGCCTGGCCTCAAACTCATGGAGATCTGCCTGCCTCTGCCTCACAAGTGTTGGGACTAAAGGTGTGCACTACCACCACCCGGCTTGCATTTATTTTTAATTAATTTATTTGTGGTGTAAGGAGTGAGCACTACATGAGCACTCTACCATTGAACTACATCTCCAGTCCTCTTTTCCTAAATTTTAGTTATGTTTGAGTCAGGGTCTCTTTCTGTAGTACAGAAACTTGCTAAATAAACCAAACTGGCCTGAAAATTGTGGTGTTTCCCTGGGGGCTCTGCCTCTTGACTGCTGAAATTACTGGGGTCCATCACCAATTCTGGCTCTTCCTCAAATTTTAAGTATCAGTTCACCTTTTTAAAGTTAATAAGAGCTTGTATAGTTCAAATGAAATTTGTGTTTTGTTCACTGCTGTATCTCTGGGCTGATGAATTCAACTTAACAGGCCTTAAGTTAGTGTTCGTTCTCTCTCTCTCTCTCTCTTTCTCTCTCTCTCTCTCTCTCTCTCTCTCTCTCTCCCCTTCTCTCCCTCCCTCCCTCCCTCTCTCTCTTTCTCTCTCTCTCTCTCTCTCCCTCTCTCTCTCTCCCTCTCTCTCTCTCTCTCTGTGTGTGTGTGTGTGTGTGTGACCATGGCTTAAGTCTGGTGTTGGGATTTACATAGTGTGGCTTTTGTTCCTTTAAAAATGGAAACAAAAACAGAAAACCAGTAGTCTTACTGTAGCCTTGGCTGCCCTGGAACTCCCTCTTTCTCAAGCATACCTCAAATATGAACTGATACATCCCGCCTCTGATGATTTTTCTTTAATATATTTGTTTTCTTTTTTGAATTGTTTTTGTTTTTTTGGAGACACGGTTTTTCTCTGTAATAGCTCTAAGTGTCCTGGATCTTGCTCTGTAGCCCAGGCTGACCTTGAACTCACAGAGATCTGCCTCTCAATGCTGGGATTAAAGGCGTGCGCCACCACCGCCTGGCCTTAGTTTCTCTTTTTTAATTAGTATTTTTGGTTGTAGAATGGATTTCATTATGGCATTTCTAACGTGTGTCATACTGTTTCATCCATTCACCCGTTTTCCTCTCCTGTGTCCGCTCTTCCCTTCAGAATGGCCCTTCTGATGACACCAGGATTGTCTAAGGGCTGGAAAAGTTCATAAATGTAAGAAGAAAGAGCTTCCTTATTAGTTTGTAATGAAAGTACTACAGATATGTCTGGATTCTCCCCACCACCACCACCACCACACACACAGGACAGCTGTATCAGCTGCTCACCACTGAACATGTTAGTAAACATTTGAAACACAGGAAACTGATAACACCCAGAAACACTTTAAAATGAAACCTGGCATATATTCTAGAGATTTAAAAATACTTCAGGAGAAATGAATTGCAGTGAATTTAAGGGATTGAATCTGTTGCCTTCTGTAACTCTTAAAATACTAAGGTGTGTGTTATCCTGGTTTCAGAAACTTGTTTCAAAGCTTTGTTGGTTGAAGATTTTAGTGCTTGTGTAATTTATTGGATCAGTAATCAGTAAAATTCCTTACTGCTAAGTTACATCATAGCTGGAAAGTCCCTGTTCTCTTTTTCTGTCCTGGTAGCTCTAGCCTGAAGCTGGCTAGGCTGGCACCATGCCCCCTTCTTTAGGGGAGGCAGTGGAGGGTAATGAAGAACTTGGTCTTAGAGTTTGTGGAACTGCATTCCAGCTACTATTCTGTAACAGCTGCAACCTTTGACCTGTCAACTTGTTTGGGTGAAGTGGGGGGTGGGGGTGAAACCCTCCCAGAATTGTGAATTTTAAAGTAAGGGCTCCATGGACTTTAGACTCAGACTTACTGGATGAAGTTAGTGCTGTTTGCCCCGGGCAGTGACCACAGACCTGTCAGCTCACCTCTCCCTCTTAAGCCACAGGTCCCTCTTGTTTTTATTTTCATTGTATTTGTGTGTGTAGTGTGTGGTGCTGCGGTAGAACTCAGAGCTTCCAGTATGTCAGGCAGGTGTTCCACCAATGACCTATATTCTCAGCCCTTCCTTCTTTGAAATTGTACTGTTACCTGCTCTTATCTGATCACCCCACCTTTGCCCCATACCTCCAAGTCTTTCCTTAAATTACATACCACACGCTCAGAATGTAGACTTAACGCTGGTGCTGTGCTCACTTTGCTCACACTGTGTATCTGGGTATTTTGCCTGCATGTAGGTCCGTGCCTTTGGAGGAAATTGAATCACCTGGAGTTACAGTCGTGATCCTTCATATGGGTGTTAGGATTCAACCCCAAGTCCTCTGCAAGAGCAGTCAGTGTTTTAAGAGTATAGAGCCATCTCTTCAGCCCACCTGTGCCAGTGATAGATAGATACATATTTTTTAATGAAATTCCATTTTCCTTTTGTTTGTTCCTCACACCAACCTTAGTCTCAACTAAGCATGTTTATGGGGTGTCTTGGTTATTTGTTTACTGTGTGAACTTTGAATCCCTTTGTTCAGGGTCAGGTATTTCACAGAACAGGTACTAGGGGAAAAAAAAGAGAGATCATAGTATTTAAATAACCTATAATACCTCCCCTAATAGCTGCTACCAATTTTTTTTAATAATGTGTGTCTTATCTTTTTCCATTTGTTCTAGGTTTTTAGAAGTTTAGCTCTCAAAATGGGCAGAATCTTCCTTGACCATATCGGTGGTACCCGTCTGTTTTCTTGTGCAAACTGTGATACGATCCTGACCAACCGCTCAGAACTCATCTCTACGAGGTTCACAGGCGCCACTGGTAGAGCGTTTCTTTTTAACAAGGTTGGTCGAAAAAAGCTTCATTCTTACATATCTTCAGTGGATATATTTGAACGCAACACTAGACTATTCCCTCAAGAGTTTACACATACCAGGAAATACAGAATGGCGGCTGAAGCCTCCAGAAGAGGCTGCCTGTTAGCTTGTCTCTAGGATTTCAGGGATACATTACTGGAACATGATTTTATTTTATTTACGTATTTATTTTTGTAAAGCCTAAATAAAGAGTTAGAAGAAGAAGAGGCAGAGTGCGATGGCTTCTGTCTGTAATCCCCGTACTTGGAAAGCCGAAGCAGGAAGATTGCCACAAATTGGAGAAATTATAGGCCAGTTGGATCAGCTTCAGCTACACAGTGAGACTCTGTCTCAAAACAGCAATAAAAAAGGACGGGTCCCTGTCTCTTTGGGGAATATGCAGTATAACAATGTGTTACTTTAGAGAATTTGGAAGAAGAGGTTGACATATCCATCTTCTCTCCCTTCTGTGTCACTGACTGGCCCATTAGGGAGGTAGCCATTGCAGCTAATCTATTGGAAGCGAATCCAGCTAACTTCTCTTGCTGTATAATTAATGGTTGCCAGTCAGCTTTCTGATTATCATTTGGCTTCTTTGGATCTACCAAAAGGAAAAGCATTTACAGATTTGCAAATGTGTGTCTAGTCTGCTTGGCTTTGAAATTTTAGACCTATTTTGAGATGAGTTGATGTGACTGTGCACCCTGGAGCCTAGCAAAGTTGAATTTCCAAATCTTTTAGACTAAGAAACAGATCTAGGCTTGTCTCAAGTGAGTGCTTTTAGAAGATCAGATTAACTTTTCATTAGAGATTGTTGCTCTGTTCCGTGAGTAAAGAAGCTTCTCTCAGAGAATCAATAGTGTGTTCACAGGATGAGGTGACACTGTGGCAGGCCAGCTGCCTGTTAACTGTAAACAGTCTCAGTCTCGCTCATTCATTTACTTCATAGTCTGGGTTTTATGTTAGTGTCAAGGCTAAGTAGTTGGAATTAAGACTGTGTAACCTTTAAAGCCAAAATTATTTACTATTGATCTGTTAGAGGAAAGTAAAGCTTAGAGGATTGTTGGATATTTAGAATGGTTGGACATTCTCCAGATTATTTTAGAATCCAATTCTTGTGTTCATTATCTTTGCACTTCCTTAATCTAATGTGTTGCATTGTATAGCTTGTGGTAGCTTAGCCTGGCCCAACATGTTTGTATATATAGAGTATGTTTTCAGAAACAAAAATGACACTTTATGGAACACTGATGGTATTGTGACAGGTTCTTTGATTATCTTACATTCATCACTACAGAGTGAATTAACAATTGAACCCAAACATATATTTCATGGCTTCAATTCCAGACCTTTTTCTTCACAACAACCAGAAATATAACTACCATATATAAATGGCTAGACTTGGACTTGTCTAGTACTATATAAAGACTACATTAGATTGGGGGCTGAAAAGATGGCTCAGCAGTTAACGAGTAGCTCTTGCAGCAGACCCAAGTTTGGTTCCTAGCAGTCACATGCAGGCTCACAGCCATCTGTAATTCTAGTTCTAGGGGATGCAATGCCTTCTGACCTCCACAGGCACCACACACACATGTGCATACATGTGGGAAAAGCACTCCTCCATATAAAAAGAACTCTTTTAAAAAAATTCCCAAATTAGATACCCAGTACAGTGCAATTACCAGATGTTTACCTGTATTTTTTGTTTTTTATTTTTTATTTATTTATTTTTTTTATGTGTGTATCAGGGGTGTTTTTGAGACCAGAATCTCCTATACGTCAGGCTGGCCTGAAACTGACCTATATGGGTGAGGCTGGCCTTGAACCCCTTCTTTCCTACTTCTGCCTCCTAAACACTATGATTACAGGCCTAGCTATTCCAGCATCTCTTCAGACCAGCTCTAGGTGGCTATCACGGGTGTAACTACACTTGCTCAGTGGTTTGTTGTTTTGAGGCAGGGTCTCACTGTGTGGTGAGGTTGGTCTCACCTCAAACTCATGATCCTCCTGCCTCGGCCTCTCCACACTGGGATGGGTCATGGGCATGCACAGCTCTGTAATACTTAATGGCTCATACATTTCCTATTGTCACAACCTTACATGACTTTACAAGCGTTTTTGTGTGTGTACATGTATTGTTTTTTAGGTAGTTAACTTGCAGTACAGTGAAGTTCAAGATCGGGTCATGCTCACTGGCCGCCACATGGTTCGAGATGTGAGCTGCAAAAACTGCAATAGCAAACTGGGCTGGATCTATGAGTTTGCTACTGAAGACAGCCAGCGTTATAAGGAAGGCCGTGTGATCCTGGAACGTGCACTAGTTCGAGAGAGTGAAGGCTTTGAGGAGCATGTACCATCTGATAACTCTTGAAGAAGAAAGATAAATCCATCTTTTCCCAGGTCTCCTTCACTGAAAACAAAAATCTACTTACATACACTGTCACCTTAGCATCAGCGTCGGATTCATGAACTGCGGAACAAGAGGGTGTGAGAATCTTGAGATGGAATCTTTCTTTCTCTCTTTTTTTTTTTAATTTTGTATTTCCCATCCAACAGCAGTTTGTAGAGAGAATATTTTGCAGATGCCGTTAATTTTTTCCCTATGTTTACATCTTGAGGCATAAGAGTCTGCAGCTACATGGTGGGCTATATGAGGGGAAAAAATTGGGGCTCCTAGAGTGAAAAGGAGTGTTTTGTGTACATTTTGAGTAGAAAATATGTCAAGAGCATGGTTTTTAAACTTATTTGGGCTTCATTTTAAACTTTCTTTTAAACCCAGTTATTTCACTTAATTTGCTAGCTTCAAGAAGAGATCCGAATCTGTGCCTGGCACTGGAGGCTCAGTGTTAACATGCCTTGTGCTGGCCAGTGTGCCATATTCTTGTTGGAGAGGAACTGTAGCACCAGAACCCATTCTTCCTTGTCAGACTTGACCCACAGATGTCACCTTCCCTAGCTCCTTGTCACCATGTACTTGGTGTTGATTGGAAACTTTCTGAAATGGGGCAGAACTGCTTGGCTGTCTTTCCCATGTAACTTAAGCATAGTAATATAAATAAAGTGATAGTTGGATGTTTTGTCCTGTGTTACTTCTAAAAATACTGTGTAAAAGAGCAGAGGTTTGATAAGTGAATTTCTTAGGAGGTAAAGTGTTTTCTTCTCAATCTTAAGCTGCATTGACTATGTATAAGGTATTTGTGTAAACGGAAGCATACTGTTTAAACCCACAGTATTGCATTTAGAAAACAGTTGAGCAGAATGTCAGTGTGCATCCTTGCATAAACCATTAATCTGCATCTGTTCTAAAAGAAGGGAAGAAAATGAAGCAGCTTATCTAAAAATACTGCTTCCCAGTGTTTCAGCCTTCCCGCTTTGAGTTGATTTTGACAAGTCTGTAGCACCTAATAGTTTCATCAAAAGACGGGATCTCTCCTTAGCATCGTTTTTTCACCTCTTCCCTTAGAAGTTCAGCCATTGCGTTTGAGCTGCACTTGATGCCCTCTGTTGGAAAGGGTCAGATTTGACCCAGCTTAGCCCCAAATGTATGACATTACAAAGTATTAGAATATGCTTCTTCATCTGAGCCACTTCTGGGCAAACTGGTACTTGCTTTTGGTGAAATAAAGGACAGTGAAATCGGCTAGTTAAATGAACAGATGGATGTTTGTATGCTCAGCTTCCAGGTCTAATGAAGGATTTTTGCCTGAGTTGAATAAGTGAAATCTTTCTGTCATTGATATTAAAAGTGATTTCTGAGTGCACTAAAGCTTCTCATAGTTGGCTTTGCACTCTTGGTTAGTGGCATGGTTGTTGATTGAGTAGGGATAATATCATAGTCCATTTTCAGTGAGTGAACACAACTCTGTCTTCAACTTGAAAGAAACCTTCAAGACTTCAGAATCGTATTTGTTTTCACGGATTTCCACTCTGGCCTGTGATATGCGGACTCCTAGTCGCATGCCTCACCTGCAGCACCGAGTGCATTGCTGTCAAAATAAAGTATATTTTGTTGTGTGTTGGTGCAGAACTGCTGCTTATTTTTCATTGATCTATTTGGTGACCATCTTTGTAATTTTAAATCTCTAAATACATCATTTTTATTTGTTTTGAGATGCCATCTCACTATGTAGCCCCGACTGACCTGGAACTTACTTGCTGCTTAATAGTAGGCTGGCCTTGACCTCACTACTGAGATTTTAGATGTGTACCACCACACCCAGTTGCCTCTGTGCTTTTGAACAGCTATTCCTTGCTTTTCTTTACAGTGGTAAAGTAATAGTTAACTCTTCTTTATGACTGAAAACACCAATTTTACCATCATTAACTTAGGTCAATTTGCCATAGATGCAACTGGCTTAGTAAATATGAAAATTCAGTTAATAATTATAAGTAAATGTCACACTATTAGGATACTCAGGTGTCTGGCAGGTTAAACAACAAGCCATTTGTTACCTTCATTTAAGTAACTTGCATGTTTCTGGACTAAGGTGTAGCTCCATGGCAGAGCACTTGCTCGGTGTGCTGGAGACCTGAGTGTGATCCCTATGACTGCAAAAACAAAAATTCCATTTTGAGGATGTTTTAAAAACTAGAGGAGGGTCTGGAGAAAGTACTGCTCTTCAGAAGACCTGAGCTTAGTTCTGAGCACCCAAACCGGGCTGCCCAAACTGCTGTAACTCGGCTGCAGTGGAGATCCACCACCTCTGGTTTCTGAAGGTTGCGGTTACAAGCTCATTCCCCAGTACTCCCCCAACACATACACATAATGAAAAATGTTTTAAAAAACATCTGGTAATTTTTAATTAAAGGATCTAGTCTAATTGGATTATTTGCAAAAAATCAAATGGGAACATTAGTTACCAGAAATAAATGGGTATGGTAGTTCGTACCTGTAATACCAACACTTTGGAGGCCGAGCTGCAAGTGTGAGGCCTTCCTAGGTTGAAGACAATTCCAAGCCAGTATGAGCTACTGCTCGAATAAGACTCTTGTCTTCACAAAACAAGGATGATTCTGTGCTGGGGCAGGGAAGTTAACTGCACCTCCTGTCTCACGGTAGGAGTGCTGGAATTGGTGTGGTACCATTCCCAGCTTTTTAAATGGGTTCCAAGAATTGAACTTGGGCCATCAGGTTTATACAACTAGCACTTTTACCTGCTGAGCCCAGCCTTTGTATGGCATATATGTGTATGTACACACACACACACACACACACAAGTTGGTTTTTCAAGACAGGTTTGTAGATTAGGCTGGCCTCAAACTCAGAGAGATTCACCTGTCTCTGCCTCCTGAATGCTGGAATTAAAGGCGTGAGTCAGGCCGGGCAGTCGTGGCGCACGCCTTTAATCCCAGCACTCGGGAGGCAGAGCCAGGCGGATCTCTGTGAGTTCGAGGCCAGCCTGGACTACTAAGTGAGTCCCAGGAAAGGCGCAAAGCTACACAGAGAAACCCTGTCTTGGGGGAAAAAAAAAAAAAGGCGTGAGCCACCACCACCTGGCTAATGGCTTCTGTATTTTAAAATACACTTCTCAAATTCAAATGTACATGGGCAAGAAATAATGCACTAAGGTTTTATTGAGGGTTATGATCCTGGACATCACTTGACACAGTCAAGCTTTAAATTCACCTGCTACATTACTACCTAGGAAGCCTGTTAAATATGTAAGGTAAGTCCTTTCTTTCTCTAGTCCTGAAGGGCATTTTTTTTTTCAGCCAGACTCTCAAAGTAGCATGTCTGCTAATGTTAGTATATGAGGATCACTGCTTATTAAGGTATTGTTTGGATTTAAAATGTCCATCATCACAGGCTCTTGTATGTGAGCCCTTTGCCCCCACCTGATGGTACTGTTTGGGGAGGTTGTGAAACCTCGGGGACATGGCGCATCATTGGCTGATGTAGGCCACTGGGTACAGGCCTTACAGAGTATACTCAAGCTCTGCTTCTCTCTCTAATTTCTGCTTCTTAGTTGGCTGAGGTGTGAACACTGCACTGCAAGCTTCTACCACCACAGACCAGCCCATTCCAGTCACCCATACCTTCCCCACTGTAAGGGGCTGCACCCTGTGAGGCTGAGACCAAGTAAACAGCTCGCGAGTTGCTTCTGCCAGGTATTTTGCCACTGGCAGGAAGAGAAATTCATACAAAGTATTAAAAAAAAAAATCAAAACAATCTGTTTGCCATGTTACCATGTGGACAAAGTAGGTTTGCTGCTAGAGGGTCACAGTATCTGACCTTTTTCCTGCTTAAATGGTGAGCCAGCCAGGCTGGTTGGTGGTGCACCAGTTTAATCCCAGCACTCGGGAGGCAGAACCAGATGGATCTCTGTGAGTTCGAGGTCAGCCTGGTCTACAGAGTGAGTTACAGGACAGGCACCCAAACTACACAGAAACCCTGTCTTGAAAAACAACAAAAATGCTGAGCCAGACATGATAGCACATACCTTTAAATCCTAGCACTAGTGACTCTTAAAATGGATAAATAGAGGCGTCTAGCTTAAAGATCACTGGGTACAATCTAAATACTAGTCTTTTCTGTTGACTAACTTAATTGACTTTATGACTCCGGGAAGTCAACTTCTAAGCCTTTTCAAGGGCTGACTGAAAAGTCCTTTCTCAAGTGATTCTTAGAATAGCCTGCAAATGTAGGCCATACAAATGTATTGGTAGTATGCAAATTGTGGCAGAACTACTTTTCTCTCATTTTAGTAATCTTCAGCAGCTCTTCGGGTTGTAATCCAATTTTGTGCTGAGCTGAAGAGGGACCAGCTGCTTTGTGAGCTCTTCAGTCCTTCTAGGGTTGACGTGTACCATGTTTGTTAGATCTTTCGGAAATGAAGGCATTCAGTCTGCACTTGTATCACACTGTCATCTTGACCTGTGCTTAGAAGGACTTTTGATCATCTGCTGGGACAGACACTTGGCATTGCTTTGCTTTCACTAATCTTCAGTGCTCCTAAATTTCTACCACTGTGGAGCAGAAAGGAAGAAAAGATGAAAGGTCACTGGCCACAACTTCAGTGGTGAAGTGCATACAAAGCCAGCCTTGTTCCCCAGACAAGGTAACTGAAAAGAATTGGTACAAGTTTCCCTTATTAGCTATTGGCTATATCTGGGTTGTTTGTTGGTTGGTTGGTTGGTTGGTTGGTTGGTTGGTGGGGAAGGGCTATTGAGACAGTCTCTGCTTCCCGAGTGCTGGGATTAAAGGTGGGTCCCACCATATCTACCTGAACATTTACCAGAGCTGCTATTTTTATCAAACATGATTTGTCATATCACAGCTGTGTGTGCCCCTCAGCCCGGAGGTTAGCCTCAGCTGTTTCAGAATTTCAGTCACACCTTGGGTTTTCTGTCTTCAGATAAGCCACATCCCTGCCCCCTTGCAAGACAATTTCAAAGTGCTCAGAGGCATTTCTGAACACACACACACACACACACACACACACACCCGTCAGTATGCCAGAAGGAAGGAGAGGGTTCCCAATTCCTTTCCTGAGGCTTAGGTCCTGTGTTCAGGTAGGCTTTCAGGACAACAGAAAGGTGGACTCAAAGGTTGAGCTGGGGAATATTTCTAAAGACCTGAATGGCAAGAGCTAAAACCAGGTGGTCCTGTCGAGCTTGACACTGAGGAAAAACATTTTTACTATGAAATCAGCCAAAACTAGCCCACTCACCAGGTGCTACTGTGAAGGACTGTTTTACTCAGGGGTTAGCAGTCAGAGTTAAATGTGGAAGATAGACTTCGCTGAATATCAAGTATACAAATTGCTGTTTCCACCATCTGTGATACACCTCCCTCCCGTCACTGCCATCTTTGCCTCAGTGTTTATGCCTCACAGGCCTTTAACAACAGCAACACCTATTGTCAAACTTTTCAACATTGACTTTCATTTTGATAATGGCAATCCAAAGTCACAGGAAATCAGTGAATTTTTTTAATTCTTAATTTTATGTGTACAGATGTTTTGCTTGCATCTAGGTCTGTGTCCCACTTGCATGCCTGGTACCCATAGAGGTCAGTAGAAGGCATCAGATTCTCTGGAACTAGAGTTAGGGGCATTGGTGAGCTGTTATGTGGGT